GAGCGTTGACAGAGAGGAGAAGGTAGAAATGACTCAGCCTGTAACTGAAAATATAGATGGACAACAGAGCTAGCTCGCTAGCAGCCTCTCACTGATGACCTCGTCGACATCATTTACCCAGAATGCTTTGCGTGTAAATAAAATGGCTCCGTCCGTGTAATATATTTTAAACGTTTAGCTTAAAAATTATAAAAACTAAACAGCCTACAGTATTTTTTTAATCTTTATTTTACAGTTAAAATATATGTTTATCAAATAAAGTCTAATGTTACAACTAAACGGGGATCCCTTTAAATTTGATGGCAACTACATCTTAAAGAAGTTGGACAGGGGCAACAAAAAACTGCAAAACTAAGTGATACAGGGGGAAAAAAACAGCTGGAGAAGTGTTTGGTCAGTAAAGAACTGGGTGTAAAAAAAGTTTCATCTGTCAGAAGCAAAGCTGGGCAGAAGTTCACCAGTCTGGAAACAATGGTGCAAAATTAATGGAACAATTTCCAAACAATGTTCCAGAATCTACAGTTCATAATATCACACTTTAGGGGTGCACGATAGTTATCGACCCGATATCAGGGAATTATGACATCATACTTATCGGTTCGATATCATAACAAACAGAACCGATAATATACTGTATGTACGTGTTTGCCAGCGCGGCGATGAGAATGTGTGTTTATTTTTATCCGTTTTGGTCAAGCTGCTTCCCGTCCGACACGGCCCGAGCAACGTTCAAGTTGCGTCAGAATAAACCACTTTCTCACTAGAAAAATAATTTTAATACTCTGTGTTGAAAAACAACCAGTCATTTTAAAAAATTATTAATATTATTTTACCAATTAACCTTGTATGTTACACACAAACTTTATAATTATAAACATCGGAACAACTACTCCCAATTTGAGAACTTGTAATGTCCGTTACCTCCTGAATGCAGCACAGAGTCCATCTGCTAAAATGCTAACAACAACAAGCTAGCATTCAAGAACTCATAAATAATTCCTGAGGCTTTTGACAAATCCAATAAAATTGCCAGAGATGACGCAGATCTCAAGCACTTTAACGATGGAAATGATGACAAGCAGCCGTTCACCCTCGCTAAAGACCGAAGCTTTTATCACTTGTTAGCCACAGTTTACCATGCTGAGCTGCTGCTCTGTGTGTCTGCCTGTAAGCATGATGCGGTCGTAATGCATTCACACTTTGATTGACAGGTTATCATTTCTGCACTATTATCTCAGAAGCACCGTTTCAGGTAGAAAAATGTTTGAAATCATATATTAATAATATTAAAAACAAATGTACTTTGAATCTAACTTGTGTTGTACCAAATTTCCCTCTGGGATCAATAAAGCATTTTTGAATTTGAATTGAATTCGTTAGTGCGTTATCTGTTTTGGTCTTTTTTTATAATTAATGTGCCTTATTTAAAAAAAATGGCCGTTTGAGAAATTGATATATTTTACTAAATGTTTGTTTGCTAAGAGTTTATTTCAAATAGTATAATTTACAGTGTCGTTTGGTTTTGGTCTTGTTTATTTATGTTATGATCTTACCCATTTTTGACTCGTCTTATCTGCTGGCATGTTATCGGTTATTGGTATCAGTTCTTAAAATGAGTTATCGTGCATCCCTACCACACTTCCACAAATCACTGTCTGTAAACACATTCTGTTGTGTCATTCACAGATGCAAGTTAAAGCTCTATCATGCAAAGAAGCCAATATGTGAACTCCATCCAGAAACACAGCTGTCTTCTCAAAGTAGAAAACTGTTCTGTCCTCAGACAAATCACGTCATTGTTTTAGAAACCACAGACACATCTTCCATATTAAAGAGTAAAAGAAGCATTATCTGCACACAGTTCAAAAGCCTGCCTCTCTGATGGTATGGTGGTGCATTAGTGCCTCTGACATGGGCAGCTTTTACATCTGAAAAGGCACCATCAAGGACAGAAAAAGTAAACACAGGATTTAGAACTTGTGTTCCCATCCAGAGGGGAAAACATGGACCGGTCCAAAATTCTTTTAATATTTGTTGCTGCCATCAAATTTCTTCATGTTTTTGTTTTTAAAATCAGCACAAGTTCTGAGTTCAAACATGTTTTTTTCTCTGTTCTACTGGAAATAAAACAGTTCCACAAGATTTTATTTTTTATGTTTTATCCAGCATCCTAACTCTGTTGTTGTGGTTGTAGCAGTGGATAATTTACATTTCAAATGTGAGCCGGCTCAACGTTTAGAGTGAACGCAGCTCTTTGGGAGCGATGCGAGGCGCGATGTGTCTATCTGCTCTGTGCTTCAGTTGCTAGGACACAGTTGGCAACAACAAGGCTGTGCTGCCAGAGGACAAGCTGTTATCCAACAGAAAGCATGACGAGGCGCTTCATTCTTTCAAACGTTCACTACGAGACGCTTGTATTTGCAAATTCATATTTCAAGTGGGCAACAAGAAGCAGTAATACTTCCTCTTCATTGTGAACACTGAGCCAGATGATGACCCACCTGCCACACTTCTTGCAGGGGAACTCTCCCTCCGGACCGACTGAGCCTTTGTTGCCCACCGAGGGGCTCGTCCTGCGTGCGTTGCCATCGAAGCGGGGCTTGGCGCTGGGGGGAGGTGGCTGAGCGTGGTGGATGACCCTGGATAGTGGCTGCTCTCTGCCCACGTCCTCCTGGCCCTTCATGATCAGGACTGTTCCAGGCTGCAGACAAAAAAAACAAGACGTGTGTCGATAAGAACTGAAGGTTTGAAAAGGTGCAATGAAGAGAGAGAGAAAATGTGCAGCTTGTGATCGCTTCACCAGCAGCTGTTCTGCAGCCCGTTAAACAAACGAGAAAAAAGCAGAACGACAACCAAGTGTGAACCATGAGAAAGTTTTTTGCTGAGTCATTGTTTGCCTCCAGGCATCATGTAATTAGGGGCAGTATCAAGTAAAATCAACTTTTTTGAGTTTTATATCATGTTATAATGTTATACTCTCATAAAAAAAAACATGCCCAAAGTCTTGCTCTGACTCATTCATGCATGTTTGAAAAATCCTGCAGCGTTTTTTGGAAGCCATGCTGAGGAGCAAAATGACAGGTGGGGACCAGAAACACCTTTTGGTACCAGAAACGTCCCTGGGACGTGTCTTTAACCCGAACTTCCTCATGGCAGAGCGCCCCTCCTCCCCACACACCCCGCCCATGACTCCTGCAGGCTCTCAAGTGAAACCGAAAGTGAAACTGAAACTGTGAGCTCCACTACTTCTCACTCAGTGAAGCTCTTTTCAGATTAAAAATACCTTTGAGGAAATTTATTTTCAGATGCCAGGTAAACTGCATCATAGCAGCTCTCCCCACTCCCCCTCGTGTGCGCGAACACGCCCCCCCCCCCACTTAAATGGGTGAGTCAGAAGCGGAAGGTGGTTCTTAAAGAGACAGAGGCCAATTTCAAGGCGTTTAGAAGAGGAAGTGATGAGAAGATAAGTTTATTTTCTATTTAAACAGAAAAACAACATTTTAATAACAACTAAAGGTGACACAGATACTTTATTATGGTATAGTATTTAAATATATATGTGAGAAATACAGACATTGTTCAAATGAGATTATTAGTTGTGTTACTGTTTTTGTGTATTTGACTGTACAACGACACCCCACACTTTATTTTGGGTGTATGTTTTAGTTAGATTGTTCATTTCTGAGAGTACTGGTATTTACTGGATGTCAC